TTTTTTTTTTTTGCTTTTGCTTTTGAAGTCAATGGTAACAGCTCAACAAATTGCTGTTTTCAATGGACACACAAACGACAATTGCCACCTAATGGAAACCTGTCGAAATACTTAATGAACATTGGCATTAAATTTATGCTGTGAAAAACAGTGTGAGAGATACCCAATTTATGGAGCAATTTTTTTGTTTGTTTGTTTTCCATCTTTTCTTCAACTTCTTCATCTTGATAAACCAAAAAATATTTCTTTAGTTCTTTTTGCTTTTTTTACTGCTGCACTACAAAAAGAAATAATCAAACAAAAAAAGTTTTGAATCTTTATCAACACTTAAATCTTTTTTGTTTTTTTCTCCTCTTTTTGTTGCTTTCGCTTATGAAATTCAGTATAATTTTCGGAACTGACTAATTGCACTGATTGCTCCGGTAAAATAACAGTTAGCTTTTGATATATCCATAAATCCATCAATGCAACGAGTAACTTTAGGAAGCCGTGCATAACAGTTTTAAACAACAACCAATATTGGGTACTGGGTACTTAGCTGTACGAATCAATGAAACAGAAAAAAGAAGCATTTTGCAGTAAGACAATCAAAAGAAATTACATTCGCTGTGATTATATGGGCACAAATAAAAATAACAAACAGAGGAAGGAAAATGGGTGGAAAAAGAAAAGACAGACTGTTTTTTGATGTTTTGGAAAAAAAAATGGACGAATTAGTATGTTGGAATAATGGACAACCGAGAGATCAGTTCTCCCAAAACTAGAACTGCAAAGAATTTGGGGATTTAAACAAAAAAAAAATTGAATTGCAAGAATAGCAACGGTGTGTGAGGTTATATGGGAACCAGCTGGTCGTCTAGTTTTTATCTATGGCAATTGAGTGAAAAAAGGCAAGTAAAAGTCGAGGAATACGACAATCAGCTTGTGGTGGATACCATAAGATAAGTTGATTGTGCTGCTGAGGGGACAGACTGACGATGATATCTGATTGTTGATCAATGGTCAACTAAAACAACTAAAAAATCTTCTTCTTGTTTTTGCTCCAAATATAGTTCCTCAGTTTTTTGGAGGAACAGACGATGCTAAATACCTGATAAACCACATAAAATGTGACTGTATTTACATAAGGTTTCTAAATTTCTTGTAGAAATTTCTGCAATAGTTAAACAGTGGAGTAAACAAAAAGAAATGTTTTTTTTTTTATCACCAAAAAATTAGGCCAAAAAGAAAAAAAAGAATTGAAATGACATCGATTAACCAATAAAGTTTATTGCAATTTTATAGGAATCACTCAGTAAACCATATGTTCTGTTTTTTTTTTTT